GTTTCTACAGTGTCTACAATACCTTTCTACAGACACATCATTATGGGGTTTTATGTCTTATAATAAGACTTACTTGAAGTTTATATATGCAGCTGTTTCTTTTCCAGTGTTGGAAATTACTTTGCTATCAATCTTAAAGCATTAAGCTGATGATCCAGGCAATCTTTAGGGGTTTTGAAGATACCTATACATTTCAGTATTTTTATTTTTTTTGCCTTTTTTCTTCCCTTTGTAAGCTTCATCCAAGTTGTTCCCTATTTTCTGTCGGGGCTGGAAACTTGTTAACGCACACACTTTGGCCACACTCTAATATCCTCACAGGTATAATTAAGAGTTTGGTTGGTCACGACCATTTCTAACATCTGTCTGGTGGCAGGTTTTGTTCTGGTCTGCCTTCTTGTTGGCAGGGAAAAAAAGGGGGGTTAATTAAATCTTGCAGCCTCTGTTTTTTTGTATTGTTTGTCAAAAGAAAAAAAGTGTTAAAATACAGTCATTCAAATGGACAGTATCACAAGTCTCCCCACAGTTTGAATGTAGCCCACAGGCCATGGTGTCTAAAAATCCAGCAACATAAATCACATGTTATAAACGGCTCCTCTTCATCGAGATGAGCTTAGTCTGTTTATACTGATACAGTCTGCAATGGTTTTAGTCAACTGATGCCTAATTTTAACACTGAACAGCCCCAGGCCTATTGTGCTCAGGGGAAGAAATTTAAAGTATAAAAGTCCTTTAATACAAAACATTTGATTTAAAATAAGCACTTTACTGTACCATGTGAATGATTGCAGTTCACTCAAGGCAACATTTGACAGTTGCAACAGATTTTTGTATTGTTTTTCTAAAAAAAAAAAAAATGCAATAAAATGCTTTGAACTACATTCTGATCTTGTGTGCTTATATTCTCTTCTTCTACAACCACATTAAAGAGTTCTGGCTTCCGGTTCAGTTTGAGCTTTCTCCATTTGACTCGGATTCTCTCCAGTCGATATTTGACCGGGCCAATCAGCGAACAGAAAGAGACGTTGCGAACGATGACGTCGATTTTCTCGCTGTTTTAGAACTATAGTCCGCCTGCAGTAATGGCAGCGGAATTCAGTCCTTGCTTCCAAATAATTATTTTATTGATTGTAATTATTAAATTAAAATCAACAGCCGCTTCGTTCGGATCTTCACAGAGGGTAACGTCGAACTGGCAAACGTAACCGAAACGTCCATAGTTAAAATGTGATGTCACACGTCCGTGCAGTTTAACTGACAGCCATATTGGCAGGGAGTTGCTATGACAATAAACAAATCACAACCAACTCTTTAAAGGCCCCAACATACACGGAGGTCCTGAAGTGCGCCTGTGTATGTTGGGGCCTTTACTTGATTACAGTTTTTGAGTACTCTACCCAGCTCTGTTTCATACTAAATATCAGTGATATTTGCTGTTGTACTTGCTGCGGAACTAGCAAAATTAGCCTAGTTAATGTAGCTTAAGCTTTGACGGACATGTAGCCTAGTGGGGCAGTGAAGCTCATCCATGTTGTACGCACTCTTCGTGTTTACTAGGTAGTTAGCTACGGTAGTATGAGATCGGAGGCAGCTTGGTTACATCGTCTGACATATTTTCCTTCTCCGAATAATAGGGGCCGATCCCAACAGCTATTTTTCCAGATTTTGTTGGTCTCGAAGCCATCCGTTTATGCTTTACGCATGAACGCCCCCTACTAAGATGGTGTGGATCACTTTTGGTTCAAACTTGTATGAACTATTTCTTTGGGTAAAATTTAAAACCTCAACACCGTCCACACCTCCAGGAAGCAATCGTTTGTAGAACCCAGACCCTCTGTCGGAAGCAAAGTGTTTCACCAAGCTAATCTGCTTACTGCAGTGTTTCTTTATCCCCCTGATGGGAAACACCTGAACTATAACTTTTATATTAACAGGCTTATCTCTTGGCCAAGGCTGGGGCAGTTTCATCCGGATCTGAAAACACTTCCTGATACCGACACAGACTGCCTCACATGTGTCCTTGGCTGTGGGTAAATATGAGCTCACTTGTTTCCAACCTGCATTTAAAATGTGACTAGTTTCACCTTGCGGCAGCAGCTGTAGGGGGCGCTCTAGGCAGAAACCCAGGTGGCATCGTCTGACAGGACTGATGCAACCTCCTGCAAGAGCTTCAGGAGAGTCAAAATACCTTCTGCTGAGTAAAACAAATGCCAGTTGTTTCACCCCGGGGTTACAGTTTGCATCAGATAAAATATCACCCCATGTTTCACTTAAAATGGGCCAATTTAAGCATCACTATTAATTTGACAGCCATTTTATTTCATATTCAGCGTTCCCTTTTAAATGTATTCTATTGGGTCTTTCAGTGTGTATTTTTGAATTTGTTCACAGGACACGCGGATCTGAAATATCAAATACCAACCTGTTTGTTACATAACCTCTTTTTCTGCACTGCATACGTCATAGATGGGGACATTAAATGATGCAACGCCAGGCTGTTTTCTGTACAATCTGGGGAATATTTGTGCATCTTCATCTGACCCAGAATGGGTATCTAGCTCCCCCTGCTGGACAACTCTGATTCTCACATTTTATGGCGTTACTTTTTTATCATGTGGGTCAAAATAGCCAATCAAAGCAACTCAAGAGCTGACAAAAAGAGCGCACTTGAGATCTTTTATAACCATCTGCTCAACAATAAACTAAGCGTGCAATATTTAAATATTGTCTGATATTTTGGTTCGAAAAGTGCAAATAGATCCAAAACTCAAAACACAGCGCTGCACGTTTAACTCATTAAAATAAAAGCGTAAAGTTTGCAGATTATTGCAGGTTTGATTAGAAAAAGTACAATATGTTGTTTTGTCTCTTTCTCTACAAACTCCTGGTATAACCAGTAACATGTCAAAATCTGCTTTTCAGTAAAAGTCACAGAATAAACATGATCATATTTGCTATAAAATTTAAGAAAAAAAGTGCAAAATTTTGGTTTTTAAAAGATGAATACTTGTGTTTTAACCCTAGTAGGGTTCAGAGTAGAAACATTTTAAGTTGAGCAATAATATTTTTGCCATAATTTAAAATAAAAGTCTCCATCTGCATCAAATATTTTTGCTGGTGGGTTAAAATTTGCATCATTCTTGAATTACAACCTCACAAATTCAGTTCAGGCCACATTTTGGACACCCAGTATTACCGCTACCAAATGTTTATTAGTGTGGATTAGACAGAACTCTATTATCTATAAACATAATACTGAATAAAAAAATAAAGTATAAACAATAATTAAATCCTACCAAATAAACTAGTACACAGAAGAAGCTACAATATGAATGGCTAGCATTTCTCTTTGCCCCAATACTTCTAATAATTTGCTTTTTAATTTTAATCTTTTCAAGGTTTCAGTCAGATAAGAATATACTTTTCCTTATCATATTTCTTACAAAATAGCATAACAAGCTCTGACTACAAAAGCAATTTCCTGTTATTTTTCCCTATTTTAAAGAGTGTCCTGTTCAATACAGAATGTCAAAATCTGAGCCTTTATATTATTATATCTTCTCTCCTGCTTTTTCCCTCCACCTCTCGTATTTCTTTTTTTCCTTTGTATCATTGTGCCGCTTTATAATTTGAGAAAAAATCTACAAATCCAACTAAAATGACCTCAAGATGTTAACCTGCTGATAGGCAGCTAATCATTACCTCACCTGTCACCTGTCCTTGCACACCTGGGAATAATAACAGGTGTTCAGGAGCTGATAAAAAGCCTGAGCACGAGTCTGGCTGAACCTTGACAGTGGCTGTGCAGGTAGGTATCATTTAAGAAGCTTATGGCTAAAATATGCATTAAAGTTTGATATTTTTGCTAGTTTGAAAGCTGAAATTATGAGAAAATTAAATTTTTACTGAAATTGCCTGTAATCATCCAGAGACAAACTTCTATCTGCATCATTATTGACATAACATTTGTACATATTTTAATTTTAAGAGGATCTTTGTGTTGAGTAAATTTTGGACATTTTATTTCTTTGCACTTGCAGACCAAGAATCCCATTTGGTTAAAGCAATTCATGTAATCCTAGCATAAAATGTATTTTAAAAAAATAATGATCCGACTCTTAGTATTTTTGAAATTCCTTTGCTTGTCATTACTTTATCCTCTGTTTATAGTTCTCTAAAGGCTTATTGGAATAGTTCTCCTACACTTGATGCTGTGATTTCAGCTCCATGTCGACAGAGGAGAAAACTGGAATGGCCTCCAAGAGTGGAGCTGGAAGTTGGAGAGTTTTGGTGAAAGCTACAAAATCCAGACTTTGACCAGCTATCCAGACATCATCCATGTGGGAGGAAATGTCCCTAAAGGGGGAATCCATATGCACAACCTCATGCTGGAAAAATTAAATATGGCTGCTGTACATGGAAAAAAAAGGAAAAAGTTGCAAACGTAACCATAACGCAGTTTCTAATCTTTTGCATCTTAAATGAATTGAGCACTGCATCTGTGAAAATGTTCAAAATGCTGATATATAATCAGCTTTTATTGAAGGTATCATGTTGGCATCTCTGATTTGTCTGACTTGTAACTAAAGGTGGTTATGTGTCTTGTTTCTGACATAACTAAACCAATGAAGCAGTAGAGGAATACTATAAAACAATAAAGTAGCCATTTTCAATGTTGGCAACGAGGTGATGACCTCCCACAAAAGTATAGGGTTTTGTGGAGTTTATCCTGTTACAAAACTAAGACGTTTTACTAAAAGCAGAAGGCAACATGCAACTTGATCAGTGTTAAACTTTTCAAAGCCTCACTTCTCTAATTTCATGTATGATCATGCAATTAAAAAGCGTAGTTATTTTATTAATGAACGTCGTGTTGAGACAAACTATAAACCAATAGAACGCTGAACCTATAATTCAAAATAAGGCTTTCATTGGAGATAAAGCCATGTTCATAACGGTTCCAACGGTCATGGTGTTTCGAGTCTCTTGGAACCTGGTTTCGTTTCCGCCATCCCTCTGACGTGATCGAGCGGCAACTCACGCGAGACTTTCGCGCTTCACATCCAGTCTGTCATGGCGCCTTAGGGACGCTGTTATTGTTCCAGTTTGCTGGTTGTTTGAGAAACCCGACGCGGAAAACAAAGCCCGTGGAGGACGTGCGGGCATGAGACGACAATCCGGAGATAATGTTAAGGTCCACCGGCTTCTTCCGAGGGATTGACTGTCCGTTTTACGCGGACTACAACGACGGCAAAGGCAGTAGAAATGGGTGTAACAGACCGTACTGTCACTTCAGACACAGCCGGCAGAGTCGGCCGTCCTACGGAGACGTTAAAAAGCTGCAGTCTGGACAAAAAGGTGCTAATTTAGTTGAATGTTCACTTTCTTTGTCTTCTGTTGCGACAAAATTGAACAGAATATATGTATTACACCTTCCGTGTCCCGTTGCTCTGAAGTGAAAGCTAGGCTAGGTTTCGCTATGTTTCTGGTGATGCTCCTACCGTTTTGTTACTACTGCAAGCTGAGAGACAATTTTAAAGCTATTTGGATATAAATTTATACCAGAAAAACATTAGAGCATCCTAATGTAGAGCATTACAAAGTGAATTGTGTTGCTTTTTGGTCCAAAGATGGTTTAGGAAAAATACTTCTTAAAAACATTTGACTTCAGTTAAATTGGTTAATTAAAATGGCCTTATTATGTCAGTTAAATTGTGAATTTATTTTTTGATATTTAAAATGCCAGTATAATATTTTGAAGTTTGGGGATGAAACATGAGAAAATAAATGGCTTTACAAGGCAAGTGTTTCTGCTAAAACATATGAACTACATCTCTTAATCATACTCCAGTATTTGAAAAAATAAACAGATACTTTTTAAAAATCACTTTACCTGTCATATAAAGCTACCTGTATTTCACGGTGTCTGGAAATTATTATAGCACAGACATTTAATAATAAATCAGACAAGGCTGCTGAGATAAAATAAAAAAGTAAGCACATGCATCCTCTAATGGAGTCCCAGTAGCAATATTTTTCACTCCTCCTGTAGTTGTCATTATGTTTCTTTGGAGTTTGGTTTTTGCAACATGAAGCGAGTCTTGAAACATCTCTCTTTAAAGAGTCCACCCTTCCTTAAATCCAATATTTGGTTTTAAAAGTAGCAATTTACAAGACTACTTGACTTGTTTCTTTCTTTGAGATAAAGTAGTTGTGATTTTTTTTTACAACATTAATAGCCTTTTCATCCAAGATTTTCTCTCTTTTTCTATCTGGAAAGTTTCCCACATGTTCAAACTTTAATTCTCTTGTTTATTTTTCATCCGATTTGTACATTATCTAATGAATAATTTGGGCTGCACAGTGAAGTTGAAAGCTGAAATTAATATTGCTGTTAGTACAGATGACCAATATTTACTACTATAGCATATTTTTTTTCCCTACCTATTCAACACTGTGAAAAAACAATAACACAGCTTATGTTTTTCCTTTACTTCAATTAAACACCCCACAATCCTGTGCTGCATCACTTTGGTCGTCACATGACCAAACAAAATCCACATGGCTCCTGAAACACACACACACACACACACACACAAATGGCAACAAAATGGAAATAGACATTGTTTGTTAATTAATGTAGGATTTATTCCATGCAAAAAAATAAAAAGTAAAAACTTTTTTAAAAATCTGCATTTGTCATGTCAGTATTTAAAAACAATGTTGGTGCTGCATGCTTTGAGCCAAATCTTCATGAGTTATTGGGAGGAAAGTTACACTGCAAAAACACAAAGTCTTACCAAGTAGTGTTTTTTTTTTGTCTAGATTCTTGTGGAAATATCAAAGCAAGCTTGAAATAAGATACCAGAAACTTACAAAGTACCAAAGATATAGGAGCTTGTTTTAGGTAATTAAATCCTTAATACTGTGCTAAATGTGCTAGTCCCATTGGAATACTATTTTACTTAAAACGACATTTTCCCATGTAATAAGTTAAATAATCTGCCATCGATCAGTCGATATCAGTTAATATTGATAATTATTATTTTGTTGCTGTGTTTCTTGCAGACCAGGGTTACGATCCCTTCAACCCAGAAGTAGTGAGTCCTCAGGAGCAGCAGAATGGGCAGCCTGCTCCTTCTGGGGACCTCAGCGGCGTCTTGGAGATGGTCAACAGAGCCATCGAGGAAGTCCGTGGCGAGGTGGAGCGAGAACAGCGGAAGCTCTCTCGCATCGGAGATGAACCTTACAGTCCCACTGAGAAGACCGGTTCGTCTTCATCCAACGTCGCTAAAAGCCAAGCACCGGCCTCGCACCTGGCCTACGACCCTGGGAGCTATCAGATCACATCGGGAGGATACGATCCCACCCCGGGCTGCAGCAAGTACACCTTGGATTCAGACAGTCAGAGGTCCAGCAGCAGTAGCTCTATGGAATATGTTCCCACTTCCCTGAAAAAGCCTCAGTCTCGGACACGAGTGCCCTGTCCTCCCCAGAGCTCCAAGTATCTGAACACTGCATCCTCTGCAAAGTGCAAATACACTCTGGACAATTCTAGGCCGTCTACGGATATGGAGTATGACCCTCTGTCCAACTACTCTGCAGGGATCGCAGTGAAAAACAAGAGAGATGAGGGTTCACATCCAGTTAAGACTGATTATAAGAAGGCATATCGGCTGGATGCTTCAGATAAGGAGAGTGGCACAGCTGGGAAAAAGCCACAGCAGGCGAGTATAGACTTAAAAAAGTACACCATCTCCGACTCTGATGGGGAGAGCTCTGGAACGGAGTACCGACCCACATCGCTTAGCAATCTCCAGCAAAGAAAGGCCAACATTGTGTCGGCCAGAGACGCTTTGGGGAAAGACACAAAAGACAGGAGTAAAAGTATAAAGGGCGCTCTTACACAGAGGAACAAGGAGGAGCTTGCACAGGACTTAGACTCACAGGAAAATACCAAACAAAAGGAGAACTTGGAGAAAAAGAAGCTGGCAGATCAAAGTGGTCATGGTAAAATTAGCAAACTGGAGAAAACACAAAATATCGATAAAGAAGGAAAGAAATCATCTGGTGTTAAAAGTAGCAGTGGTAGCAGCAGTAGTGCAAAAGACAAATTATTTTGTAAGAACTTTAAGCAAGACTCTGCAAAGAAGGAGAACAAAAATCAGAAAGATGATAGTAAAAATACACTAAAGGTGAAGGATAAAGTTCAGAGAGAAGGCAGGGATGAAAAGAGATATGAGAGCAAGAGCAAGATGGTGGAAAAACTTAAGAGAGCCTTAAGTGAACAAGACAAGGACACACGAGAAAGCAAAAAACTGAAACCGTCGGACCGTGAGAAAGACCAAAGCAAGAATAAAGACAGCCAGAACAGAAACGGTAAACTGGACAGCAGTAGAAGAGAAAAGGACGTTAAGAAAAGCAAAAGCAGCTCCAGCAGCTGCAAGGGGAGCCCGGCTAAAGCAAAGCAAAGCGCCAGCTCATCAAAAAAGAAACTTGAAGACAAGAGTCTGAGTCTGAGCCACGTAGATCTGTTTGGAGATGAGAGCCCTGAGGAGGCTGACCCGATGGAAGTGGACTATGACGACGAGCCGGAGGAAGTCCTGGTCAGGAAATCAGCCGACGCGTTAAAGAGGGGACTTCTGAGCAAGAGGAAGGCTTCAGAGAGGACGCCATCTTCCTCTGAGGACGAGGCCGACGGGGAACCGGAACGCAGCAGGTCGAGCTGGGAGGAGCCTGACGACGTCCGAGTCGACTTCTCCATGTTTCAGGACGATCTGGACTTCGACTCGGATCCGATGGAGGAGTGTTTGCGGATCTTCAACGAATCCAACGATGTGAAGAAGGAGGACAAGGGAAGGCAAGCAAAGCAGGTGCTGCTGTTTTTCGTCTACTTCTCTTTTACTTTTCATTCACTTTATAACTTCTAGGAGTGCACGAATTTATCGACCAGCCGATTTATTGATTTCCTTACATTTGGGAGATCTGTGATCGGCCGACACTTACATGTGAAGCCGGCCCACCAGGTCATGTCTGCATGTTTACAGTTAATAATCAATCACTTTTACCAACTCAGTGACTTTCTTGCTATTTTTAGCAACATTTCAGACAAAAACAAATTATAAAAAATTGGTAGCGGCCAAAATCAGAATCAAAGATCGGTAATCCGTGATCAGCCAGAAAGCTGCAATCAGTGCACTCCTAATAACTCAGTGAAATAACACAAAGTCTTTCAAAGTGTTTTTGTTTGGCTTTTAGTGAAAATGTATGCGAGAGAGCAAGGCAAAAGTAACTTGCAGTCATTTTTCAGCAAAATATAGATGCTTGTTTTGAGTCAATATTGATAAAAAATTACTAGTTCCACTGACATATTATTTCACTTATACCAACATGTTATAAGTGAAAACATTTGTCAGTGGAACTAGTAATTTATTAAAACAATATTAAGGCGTTATTAACTTAAAACAATCTCCTAAATTTTGCTGAAAAGTTCCTTGAAAGTTAAAAGTTATTTCAAGTATTTTCACAAGAAACTAGACAAAAATATTTAATATTTTGTTGTTTTTCAGTTCAAGCGTGGTAGTTATCTGTTCTTCTTTTCCTCTTTCAGGCTTCCAGGGATTCAGAGGAGGAAAGAAGCACAGATAGCACTTTAACCACACTCTTCCCCGGCCAAAAGAAGAGAGTGTCCCATTTCGTTGCCAAAGGAGATGTAAGTGAGACACTTTTGAAACATTTTAATTGTATGGTACATTTTATTTTATGTGCAAACACTTCCTATAACTTTAGTCACTCATGCACAGGTAATATTTGCAAACAATGATGGTATTTTGTAGAAACAACATCAAGCTTTGTGTTAGTAGATGGAAGAACAGGAACGTCTGAAATACCAACTGAATCAGAGGGAGTTTCTTGTTTACCTTTTAAAGTCTGACCTTTATGTGAAGAGTGGGAAAAATCCCCTGTAGTATTTACTTCACACCGTTCTGTGATGCTTTTATTTCTAAATTGAGGTGGAGCTTCAGGTGGTGGCGACAGAGAAACAAGGAAGTAAAACCAAGATATGAAACATGGACATGTAAATCAGAGCTCATGGGTTTTCCTGATATGATTCAGTGGAAACGTTCCAGAGAGATGCTCTGATCAGGTTTCTGTGTCATAAAAGTCTCTCTTTAAAGCTAATTCTGTACTTTGATTTTATTTTAGAATACAGTATTCTAAGAATTGAATATAGTACTAGAACAAACTCAGAGGCAGAGTTAAAGTCATACTAAGAAGATGTAATTTCTATATCTTCCTGAAAAGTTACTTTTAAGTTAGTTTTGTCTTATTTCAAGTTTACTAATATATCTTCACCAGAAACTAGACAAAAATAGTGTAAATTGTGTGTTTTTCAGTGATGTGTTCACATACTTTCATAATACCAATATTTTTGTTGTTACTTTCCAGACCGATGCACCTTCAAAGACGGTGGTCCGGCCATACAAGCGGCCCACTCCGCAGGAGGTCTGCTTCCAGCGTATGCAGCTGGCCCAGCAGCAAGCCGCCCAGCTTTCAGCGTCAGTCAAAGCTGCCTCACAGAGCTCGACCTCCGGCTTTGCCGGGGAGAAGAAGAGAATCGCTCACCGGCCCAATCCTCAGATAACCTCCACCAAGACGAGTAGGACGCCCCCCGGCTCTGGTTGAAAGTTTGTGTTTGGCTCTATAATTAGTCAAATGTTGGCGTTTGTCCCAGCAGGTCCAGCACATGGGAAACCAGCTGCCAGTGAGACTCCCCAGGGGGTGAAGAGCCAAACCACAGCTGGCATTCTGTCCAAAACCTCGTCTACGGTGGGGCAGAAGAGGACGGCACACACACCCACCATGAAGGTGATTTTTAACTATTCATGTTGATAATCTTATGGATATCTAGTGCCTCTTGTGTTTTTTATTTCTGCACAGTGCTGGAAATCTGGGGTTAGACTGATTGGGGACCAAAGTTGCAACATTTGTTACATTTTCAGATGGTACAGTTTGCTTTCACACTGCACTGTGTCAAACAAACCAAACTATTTCAAAAACCTGTTCACTCCCTCACCTGTGGTGGCGCTGTAGCAAAAACTAATGAAGGAAACGACACGAAAACTCCTGAACAAGAAACTGAGCGCAACTTCCTTTCCAAAAACACAAAATCTCAACAAGTATTTTTCTATAGTTTCTAGTATAAATATCTTAGTACTCTTGAAATAAGACTATACTAACTTTCAAGTAACTTTTCGGCAAGAAACAGGAGATTTTTTTAAGTCAATAATTCCTTAATATTGATTTAAAAAGTATTAGTGTCACTGACGCGTTATTTCAGTTTTAACATGAGGAATAATGTCTTGATTTAAGTTAAAATAATCTACCAGTGGAACTATTACTTTTTCATTAATAAGAAATTATTTACTTAAAACAAGCTCTTCTAGCTTCTGAAAAGCTACTTTTACGTTAGTTTTATGTTATTTTGATATATTGCACAAAAACTAGACAAAATACTTTGAGATTTTGTGTTTTTGCAGCGTTCTTCACAGAATGTAAATAGAGTAGTTCCAGGTTTTAGTAGTTGTCGGACCACAAACCATTTCTTCTGCTAGGGCTCAACTCGTGTGTTTGTTTTTATTTCTATTACCCAAAATGCCCTGTGCTGTAGTCAGTTTCCTGCTTTTGGAGCTATCTCCAACTAGTACTAGTTCCAGTGGCAGACTATTTTACGTTTAAAGTGAAAAATATCTGTACTAATTTGCCAGTGGAACAAGTATTTTCTCAGCAAAATTAAGGAATTACTGACTTAAAACAAGCCCCTATTTCTTGCTGAAAAGTTACTTGTAAGCTAGTTTGTCTTATTTTAAGTGTAATAATAAGATATTTGTACTAGAAACTAGAGCAAAATACTTGGTAAGATTGTGTGTTTTTGCAGTATAGGCAGTAATGTGGTTCGCGTCAGATTTCACACCTCCTCAAGCAAACCGGACTTTTTAGGCGAACACGCTAGAGTTGGATTAAAGCGGACTAAACAGAGCTGGTGTGAATGCTCCTTAAAGTCTTCTAAAGGTCTTAAGAAACGGTGTGTTAATTCAGATTTTTTTACGTGACTCTCTTCTCTGCATGTTTGCTTTTTTTCCCCCAGAGCTCCTCCATGAGGCGCCCGGTCATCCCCACTGAGTTCGGAGCGAAAGTTCCCACCAACATCCGCCAGCGCTACCTCAACACGTTCATAGACGAATGTGTCAAGTTTTGCCCGACAGAGGAGGCTGCATTTCAGATGGTGTGAACGTTTTCTCTTCTTTCTGCTCTGCTAGAGTCGGTTTGTGTCGTTTATTAACAGAACCGCTCGTTTGACTGACTGTGGTGGATGTTTGGTTGGCGTTTTCACTTAAAGATGGTTGTGACGGTTGTTTCAGGCCCTTGATGAGGAGAAGCTGGTGTACGAGCGCAGTAGTAGTAAGAACATCTACCTCAACGTTGCCGTCAACACGCTGAAGAAGCTTCGGGGCAAAAGCAGCTCGTGTTCGTCGCCTGTCAAAAGTATGTAGTCTCAACTTCCATCTATAAAGTTTAAATCCTGTTGTGGTTTAAAAAAATCAGGCTATAGTAAATCTAAGAATCAATTCACAACATAACCTGCAGCTTCAAAAGCAGCAAAAGGAAATGATTTCTTACATTAAAACTCAATAAAATACATTCAAATCGAGTACTTTCTGCATTGTATTTAATAATGACGATTTTTTTGTACTCTTCCCCTGACTGATACCTTTTAAGCCTGTCAGGAAACTATGGCTTCATCTAAAAGATGCTAAGCGGCAAATGTCAGATTTGATTTAATCAGATTCACTATAATAGATGTTATGTTTGAACTAGGTCTGATTAATAAATCATTTTTGTTTCTTGAAGATTTAATTTCTGGATAATTTGGATTTTTTTCAGCAATACAACCGTTGGGTTTCCATAGTTCAGAGCGATGTCAGCAGAGCCGCCATCTTGTTTGACAAGCGTGTTTTCTAATTATTTGGACTTTGAATTCAGGTCAACTCTACGACAAATTATTAATTAATATTTTAAGATAACAGAGTCAAAATAATGTGAGAATAAAGTCATAATATTACCAGAATAAAGTCGTACTACCAGGAGAATGAAATACTTATTTTATGAGAAATTTTAAATGAGTGAAACATTTAAGTGAGGAATGTTGGGCAACTTTTGAAGTTATAATTTGGTACAAGATTTACAGATAAGGAAATATTTTATCAAGACTTTGAAAGGATTGAGCAAACGAATGTGTCTGTTTTAAAGAAAGAACCACACGAATCATGAAGCTTTTTCTCATAAAAACTACTTTTTCTTATAATTTTAAGGCTTTCTTCTAGTAAAATTGCATCTTAATTTTGCTAATATTATGACTACATTCTCATAAACAAACAAACATTCTTGTAGCCTGGCCTTGATACTCTTTTATACAAGTAACAAAAGGAATGACTTGAATAAAAGTCACTTTTTCAAACTATTTTCTGTCATTTGTAATTTCTATTTTAGAAAAAAAACTATTTAAATCCGATTAGAGATTTAATTTTTAAGCCAAGTCGCCCAGTCATAGTTTGAACTCAAATGGGCTGAAATCTGAAATGGAATATATTGATTTGATCTTAGTTTTTAAATTATTTATGTTCATCAGAGTTGTTTGTAAATCAAATTTTATTTGCACAGCACATTTCAGCAACAAGACTGTTCAAAGTGCTTCACGTCATAAAAAACACAAAAATCAACAATTGAAACATTACAATTGTAATTAAATTTTCAGATTTTTTATGTCGGATGAGGAAAACATTTCATCCACATTTGTTACAAGAAATACGAGGAAGTGAAAATTTGTGTGTTGTACAGCTCCTCTGCTTTATCATGAATGAAATGACAGCCAGTGGATCTGTTTTGCATTTTCTGCAGAGGATTCTGGGCTTGCAGCTAGGCGAAAGGCGCAGTCCCATGAGGAGGTTCTGGGAGGTCGTCTTGCAGCCACAACCAGCTTCACTGTCAACCGGTCGGGCAAACAGCAGGAGGAGAAACTCTCCGGTAAAAAACACATGGCCTCCATTTCAGATCAGATGACACATGTGCTCATTTCTCTCTTCGTGTTTGTGTTTTTCTGGATTCAGCTCTTTATGTGTCACTTGATCACATGCTTGGCAGCAGAAAGCGCAGATTATATTTCTAAAAAAACAAAAAGAAGACCGTTTTTTCCTGTGAGGTGCTGCTTACAGTGCAGAAGTGGTTTCACAGTAGCAGGTCTGTTCAAGCTGCCATGTGACAACCTGAGGGTCACCAACCCATGACTTCATGCTAACGGCGCTCCAGCTAAATAACAAGAAAATTAATAAATTCAACCTTTTCTGATCCCCAAGTTTCCTTTTTGCTTTTTTATTGAAAGAAACTGATTAGGAAACATTTTCTCTTGCCTGATTTTGTCATTTTTTGTTACTTAAATCAATGTATGAATGATAATTTTATCTGTTACTCAAAACTTCAGTAGACTTTTTTTTACCAAATGCTTTTTTACTCCTAGTTGAGGAATTTCTTGGTTGGCTTCTTTTTACTTTTGCTCAAGTAATATTAGCACTACTTGAACATATTTTTACTCAAGTAAAAGTAAAAAGTAGCCATTCAAGACATTTCTTAAGTGAGAGTAAAAAAGTATTTGTCTACTCAAGTACTGAGTAACAGATCAAATCATCAATCATTTAAAATCTAAAAATTACATCATCAGATGGACAAAAATATAGAATTAAGTGGAAATTTTGGTATTTTAAGTACGAAAATGACAATAATTCAGATAAGTAACAAAAAAATAACAAAGTCAGGCAAAAGAAAATGTTTCCAAATCATTTTCTTTCAGTGAAAAACTTATGAGACTCTAACAAAAGCTGCAGGTGTGTGTCTTTGTCTGGTCAATTTTTTGGTTAAAACATCTTTGTTTTTCATTCAGTGGGTAGAAAATCCAGAAATGTTATGAAGTAGAAATACTTCATAATAAAATTACTGAAGTAAAAGTAAAAAGTACAGCGTAAGTAAAAAAAGTTACTCAAGTAAATGTAACTAATTAATTACCAGCTGTGGATATTTCTGGATATATGTCGCATTTGGAAAAAGTCAGATTTGTGTCTGATTTTGTTTTAGGAGTCTGTGATAGATTTAGTTGTTGCTCTGCTGTTTGTGTAGGCGCCAGCCTGTACAGGAAGCTGCAGGCGTACCTGATGACAGAGGAGCAGCTGCAGGAGCACGGCTACCCGCGGCTGAACCCCGAGGTCTCGGGCAAGGCCGTCATCTACAACCAGCCGGAGAAAAAGATCTGCCCAGACCGTGAGGAAACACGCAGCGCCGTCCATCTCAAACCAGCACCACGCTTTCAGCTAACAGGTTTATGCTAATCTTCCTGCAGCGTTCGGCAGGATATGCTGCCGCTGCGGCGCCGAGTATAAGGTCAGCGTCAACGGCAGCTGTGTCCGCAGAGAGGAGTGCAGCTACCACTGGGGGCGTTTACGCAGGCACAGAGGTAAACGCTCTGAGTTTTCTTTCCTCCTGAGTTTTCTTTCCTCCTGAGTCGGTAGTCTCCTCAACATGTTTTATTCTCCTCAGTCGCCGGCGGCTGGGAGACGACGTACAGCTGCTGCTCGGCTACTGTTGGAGCTCCTGGATGCCAGATAGCAAAGGTATCACAGCAAAACGATAACATATTCATATATTAGAAAGATATGGAGTCAAAGATTATTCTAGAGGGAGTAAAACCCTAAAATAAACATTCACATGTTACGTTTATCAGCTGGACAAGCAATAAAATTAATCATCCAACCCATTTCATTGTTTAGAAAGAAGTAATTAAGTGTAACCAAGTCACTTTATTATTTTTAAGATTGTGTTTTACTTTTTAAGTGCTATATTAGTAGTATTATAATAGTGTTAATAGTGGTATTAACTTATTTTAGTTACAGATGCTAAAACTTAAAGCTGTGTGTTTATTTAATCTTTAGTTTTTTTAAAAACTATTGTTATTTATTTATTAGTATATTTATGTATTACATCTTTTATTTAATGTTGGTTATTTGGTTATTAAGTATCAAATCAGATTAGCCAAGATATTGCTTTGGATTTTTAGGGAAACTTTAAAAATCTTCATGTAGCTCCTTTAATTGTCTAATATTCATCTCTGATCGTTTAATTTTCTCTGCGTTTCCGTAGCAACATGTGCAGGACGGCCGTAAAGAATCCCTGGACGGCTTCGTGTCGACGTTCAGCAAACCGCTGCCACCAGACGGAAACGGCGGAGTGTTCGCTTTGGACTGTGAGATGGTGAGTTGGAGAGAAACAGGAAGAAGAATCACCTCGAGTCGCTGCACAGCTGGGCAGCTTGACTTAATCAGAAAATCCCTGATTTTTTTAATGCCACGTGCAATGTGTTTTTTCTGCCCGCTTTCTTTTCTAAAAATAGACGTTACTGAAATATTTCTAAAAAATTACTTTTAATTCAGTCATCTGTTCTATCAGTTGTACGATGGAGCGCTAGGGCAAGGATACGAGAATTTTTGTTTAATTAGGAGAATATTAGTATAAAAGAGGCTTTTTTACTAGGAAAAAAAAAACATTTTAAAACTGTAAAAAAAAAGTTTTTTAATAAGAAATGGTTTAGTTATCAGGATCTCCTCAGCCAGAAATCTGAGGTTAAGTCGGAATTCTGAAAAAAAAAGTCAGTTTTCTTTTTCTTTCCATCGATCCTAATCCTCTTCCGCAGACATTTGACATTTATTTTGTGTCAGGCGACATTTAAAATAAATGCCACCTGACACATTGTGGCGTAGAGTTGACCTCAGTTCAAAGTCCAAATAAATAAAACTTGTAAAAAACAAAATAAATCCTGATTGTCCAAAATTTTAATCCCTCAAAAACAAACAAAGAAAAATAAATGAATAAATATGGTTAACGTTAGCGTAGCTTAGCTTTAATTGGTTGTTTTCCTGTCTGTGTGATCAGTGCTACACTAAGCAGGGCCTGGAGCTGACCAGGGTCACCGTCATCGACTCCGAGATGAAGGTCATCTACGACACGTTTGTGAAGCCCGACAGCAAAGTGGTTGACTACAACACACGGTGAGGGAACAGGAAGCGACTCCCGGCGCCATCTTGGATGGCTGCAGGTGTGACGGAGCTGCGTCTCTCTCACAGATTCTCAGGCGTCACTGAGGAAGACCTGGTGAACGCCACCATCACCCTGAGAGACGTTCAGGCGGTTCTGCTCAGCATGTTCAGGGCGGAGTCCGTCCTCATCGGACACAGTCTGGAGAGCGACTTGCTCGCACTAAAGGTGACCTTCATCATCCTCTTCTTCATCTTCTCCAGCCGCTTGTTGTTTGAGCTGCAGAAATATATCCACACTGAAAAATCACAAAATCTTACCAAGTATTTTTAGTGTAGTTTTTACCACAAATATCTCGGTACACTTGAAATAAGACGAAGAAATTAATAACAAGATAAAGGAGTTTGATTTAAATAAATAATTCCTTAATATTGATAAAAAAGTTCTTATAAATTCACTTATAACAAGATATATTTCCCATGTTTTAACTAGAACGTTTTCATCTATATTTTTATTGACTTAAATAAAGTCCTACATCTTGCTGAAAAGTTACTTATAAGTTAGTTTTGTCTTAATTCAACTTTACTAAGATATTTGCACTAGAAATTAGACTAAAAATACTTGGTAAGATTGTTTTTGCAGTGTATGTAGTTTTTAAAAATGGGTAATTTAGTTTGTGACAAGGTAAAAAATATGCCTACAGGTAATGCATAATCTGTCATTTATATTCTACTTTATTTTAAATGAAATGGGATTTTATTAAATTGATTACAAAATTAGTTTTATTTTCATTATACACAGTTGGTGATATGTTTAAGTTGTTTATTTCAGTTGTTTTGATGATTTTTATTTTGAAAAAACAAAACAACTACTAAATATTCTCAGAAAATTAGAATCTTATGCAACACAAAAAAATTTTTTGTTCCAGAAATGTTTTATTGTTTACAGAATCATGAAGAAAACTGCTGCCTCAGGACTTCATGCAGATTTTAAATGGTCAAAGTTAATTTCTCAAGTTTTATCCAGTTTAATTTATATTTTTTTGGGGTTTTGTTTCTCTTTGCTTTTCTAGTTGGTTATTTTGTAGATCAATTATTTGCTTTGCTAGTCTATAATGTTTGTTTTGTTTTGCAGTATTTGGTGAACTAAATAATAATAATAATAATATTGCCTTTCTCGAACTGAAGTCCATAAATGTAACTAATTGAGGACAAAAACTGCTGCTTTAACAAAAATCTGCAACTTGTTGCACAAATTTAACGTCTGACAGAGCAATCTAGTCCCTTTCTGAGATAAAAATGTTTTTCTTTCCGGTAAACAAATCGACTAAAAACAATATTTTTAAAGAGTAAGGTTTATTTTATTTCCTGTCTGTTTCCAGCTCATCCACAGCTCAGTCGTAGACACGGCCATCGTTTTTCCTCACCGCCTCGGTCTGCCCTACAAACGTGCCTTGAAGACCCTGATGGCCGATTACCTCAAACGCATCATCCAGGACAACGGTGAGAAAATCCACCAGACAACCTGTAGATACATTTTTATTTTTTTAAGCTGTGCAGTTAGAACAACTTATTCTTTTTCCAACAATTATTTATTTTATCTAAGCTATAACTCACCAACACTTTACTGCCAAGTAGTAACAAAAAAAGTCAACCAAACACAAATCTTCTTGTTAAGAGTTCAACAAAACTAAAACCCAACAAAGTTGTAAATAAAAACAGAGACAAATTGTGGACTAATTCTGCTCCAGATGAATATTATATAGTTATATTATATATTAATATCAGTTTGTGTAATATGCTCAAATCACCAGCAGAGGTCACTGTTGCTGCTGTGGAAGCTTTTACTTCTTTATTTATAGTATGCTACTCCAAATCATAATATTTCTATTAAAAAGGTTAAAATTTTCCATTAGCTTCATTCGTCCAACTTGTTTGATGATTATTGATCCTGAAATGGTCGTCAATGCAGCTTTGTGTTGATAAATATGGCAAAGTTTTGTCATATTTTTTCAGTGACCCATCTGAAGAATTTGTCATGTTGATAATGAGAAATCATAAAAGAGAAAGATTTAAAGTGCCAGCAGCAAAACTGGGGAATAAAGACACAAACTGCTTAAATTCTGGTTTTGTGATGTTTAATGTTCTTTTAAATGGTTGAAAATTAACTCCGTCATTAGTCTGGATTCAGAAATCCTGAGCTCTGTCACAGCTGTGAATAATAAACGTTATATTTTTAAAAGCTAAAAGTGATTTTTTTCCCCCAGTCTTACTGATTATATAAACAATTAGCCAAAGTGTTTCAGTCTTAATAAATAAAAGTCTAACTAACCACTTCGCCCATGAGGTTCCTACCTTCACAAATGTCATTAATTTCCTCCTCACCGTTTGGTCACATGATCAGTGTTTCCTCCCGTTTCCTAGCAACAAGGGGCGGCTAACCTTGTGCTTGTGTTCGCAGTGGAGGGCCACGACTCCAGCGAGGACGCGTCGGCCTGCATGGAGCTGATGATATGGAAGATTAAAGAGGACGCAAAGCTCAAGAGATGACCCTGACCCTCCAACTCTGCGTCCACGGTGATGACCTCCGGCCTCCTACTCTCGACAGGTGAGGGAGGATAAATCCAGCAGAGTCGTTGGTCGTAGGAGAGGAGAAACTCACAACCAGTAAAGCAATAGGAACCTGAGTTAATGAACGCTGATTTCTTTCTGTTGTTGCTACTTTAGATTTAAATTATGTTCGCTGGAAAGTATTTTTATTTGAGCAGTGTTTCTTTCAGGCCTCAAACTTGATGATCGTAAACTTTCTATGGAAGAACTTGAAAAGCAGGGGGCATTGTCTCAACTGTACTGATTAACAAATAGATATATATAGATATATATATAAGCCTATATATAATAATAATATTCATGCTGGGCTGTCTCCAGCATACATTGCACTATAATATAATTGCTCTTGTTGTACAGGGCCAAAGTCAGAGAACCTCATATGTGCTGTGATGTATTCACTTCTAATAGAAAAAACAGTTACTTCTTCTTAGTTACACTTAAGTGCATTAATGTCTTAGTCTGTCGATGGTTTCTATAAATAAACACTCTTGTTTTTTCACTCACACCTCCTAGTTTTCTACCACATGCTTATTAATGCCATCAGTTTTCAAAGGCGGCTTCAGCAGCTTTTAGTCACTGGGTTTAGTAGGTTGATTAAATGTGTTGAAGAAAACACATTAAAATCACTGATATCTCAATCTCTGCATGACGAAAACGACACGGATCTCTCAGGATCGATGAGGCAAAACTCGATCTCCATCATGAAATGGAAAAGTCCAAACCAAGCTGAACCGGGGGAAATAATTCAGTTATCAGTTATTTTCATTGACAGTGACTTAAAATATACAATAGAGCTGTAAATGTGCTGTAAAGAGTTTACTTTGTATTTGTTAAACCTTCGATTGTTTATCTTTTTCTATTAAAAAATCTTTGCTTAAAGAAAAGGTTTGTCTTTCATTTTTCATGCCTCCTTCAAATTCTTAACTCCATTTGGGCAGAAACGATTAATCAGATTAATCGTGATTATTGAAATAATTAACTAATTTAGTGATCAATTAATCATTAACTGGAGTATACAGACTCTAATAAAAGACATTTGCCTTAAAAACTACACATTCAGCAATTAAGACAAAACTGTACAGAATTTTTTTGTAACATTTTGCACCTAAGATAAAAATGAAAACCTATATACCTAAAACATACACACACACACACACACACACACATATATATATATATAATGTCGTTTTAAGTACATTTTGTCATCCAGTTCATAATGCTAAATTAATCAATTTATCTACAAATGATCAATCATACCTTAAAGGAATTAGTGTTATTGCATTTTAGGTAATAAAATATTTTTTATTTCACAAAGGAACTGAATTATTAGTTTATTTACATCTTTTTATGTATTAATAATGTTTTAAGAGAAATAATTTTAAAAATATTGGATTAATATACTTAAACAATATTCTAATATAATTTTATATTTTGTCTACATTTACATCATTTTACAAATTAAATCTGATTAAGCAGTACTCAGTACTTAGTTATACAGAATACTTTTTTTAAATCGTACTGGAAAAAATAGTATTTTCACTGGCAGACTTTTCCACTTATGGGAAAAATGTCTTATGAGTGAAACTTATACTTTTTTTTAACAATATCAAGGAGTTATTATACTTTGCTGAAAAGTTACTTCTAAGTTAGTTTTGTGTTTTTAAAGGATACAAAGACATTTGCACTAGAAATACCTTTGTGTTTTTGCAGTGCATCATCCCTCTCCTGAAGCTTTTGGTTGCATTTTCAGCTTTGGAAATTATTAAAACTGTTCTGCACTACAAGTCTGAGCACAACTGAAAAGGGAAAGTTGTAAAAATAGAGTAACGATATTTAAACTTTTTTTTTTAGGCCATTGTGCTTTTGCTCAAAGTTTGTGTCTGAACTTGAACTTCTACTTGTTCTTTGTGCAGCTTTCTGAGATGCTGCTTCCAGTCCATATCTGGGAATTCCTCTTCCTGCTCTGCAGCACAAATAGTTTGTGACAGTGCGACAGCTGCCTGCTGCAGTGTCTCCTCAACGGCAGGTGCAGCGACTTTAAAATCTCCTTTCCTTCAGCAGATGCAGAAATTGACAAGAACAAGAAAAAAAACGAAGAGAGAAATGCTAAACTGGAGAGGCCCATCTTTTCTTTGGCCTGTTTGCCTGTTAAGCCGGTCCAGTCACATGTCAGGATGCATTTCCCCCAGCCGGGCTGCAGACCCCAGGTATTAATGGAGCTGGTTAGCGGGGATCAATACCTACACAATGTTGCAGTGACAGGGAGGGGGCCTTCCTAGTGTTCGCCAGAGATTTTAAACATGTGGAGCAAAGCGGCTTAGAGGGTCGTCTTCATTATCAAATTCGATCAGTTGCCTCTCCCTGTGATCACCTTTAACAAGTGGGGCTAACAGGGGGGCGCGGGGCCCTGAAATGACCCCATGCTAGCAGATGAAGAGCCAAAGAAAGAAAATACTTCATCTCCTGAGCAGCCTAATGGAGAACTAGTGAAGGACTGATTCATCGTTACTATAACTATTGACCCTTTGCAACTACGTCACTTAATTATTCCAGGCGCCATGATGGATGTCGGAAGTGAGGGGCGGGAGTATTGAACAGACCAACTGAAGTTGTTTTCCAAAGTTTTTTTTTTTTTTTCTAGTTTATTGATGGTTTTTACTTGTTCAGTCAAGCTAATTTGTATGTGAACGTAACACACCTGACTGGGGCTCATAGTCGGCGGTATTTACAGAATTTGGAAACAGCTAGCTTAGAAACCAATACATACATCCTCCCTCCTGACGGGTTGATCAAATTACCGATTTACCTGAATTCACGCCACATGATTTATTATATCACTGTCATAAACAGCGTTTCCTTTTACGCAGGAACAGGATTAAAAACGTACAAAAGACGAGAAGGTAAGCAGTTTTTTTTCCATACATGCTAGGCTACATGACGGTGTGGTACACTGTCTCCATAATGCGATAATTGATATCTTTCTAATAATACTAACTTATAAAGTATATGAACGTCAATCTTCTTACCTTGTAAAAAGTGTTCGCTTCAATCCACGGTTAACAAAAGGGCTGACAGTTATGATTGACGGCTGCTGTCCATCGCCGCCATCTCTCCTCATTAAGTTATAAAATAAAATGACACGTTTGGTTTGCATCCTTATCTGTTAGTACAGCACCCTATGAGCATGTTTAAAGTGAAATCAACTAAATAGAAGCGATATTAGGTTACAGATGTCTGCTTTTAGAATAGCTTTGAGGAGCGCATTGGTTATTTTGACGTCTGACATGGCGGAGTTCTGGATTCCATAAAGTCACGTCCAAAAGGGTTTACAAGGTTAGCTAAACATGCTGGCCTAAATATGTTGTACTTTTCCTGTTACTTAAAAAAAAACCTCATAATTACTTCAAAAAATGTCTTTTTTCATATTTTTCATCCACGATGATCGCCATTTTTCCACCTGCTGGGTTGATGACGCAGTTTGGTCCGTTCTACACTGGAATCCAGTAAGGCAGGAAGGCTAACTTTACCTCAGTTGTTTATCATATTGTGTTTGGTGTGTAAAAGAAAAAAAAAAAAAAACAATTTTGAGATTAAGCTAAAAAACTTTCTAGAAAAGACGTGGAATGAAACATGTAAAGAATGAAAACAAAAGATAAAATGAAAAGAAAAGGATATTTCAAGTCTAGAAAAGGTTTTATTTATTCCTCTGTATTCACACCTGCACCCCAACATATTGGACGCTCTTGACCCCCGGGTCACCCGCTGCTGTCTGACCTTCTCCGTCCATCTTTAATCCCTCGTTCTCTCTTCCAATTAACAGTCTAATCTTTACTGGTATTGATCCGCCGGTGTTGCAGAAAAAGAGATCATAGGAGGATAATTGGCTGGTAAGGAATTAAAACTGCCTCCTCCTAATTTAAATCCTGCTAATTGATTGGAAGTTTAAAACTTTTACTTTTCGGTGTCATATAGCTGCTCCATCCGAACCGGAGTCGCCTCTTTGTGTATTTTTGAGCTTTGTTGTGTTTGCAGTCGGGTCACTCTAAGCCCAGAGTGTGTCAAGGCTTCACAGCGTGATCCAAGTCCAACTGCTGCCGCCATCCCCCGTCTCCCTCAGGTCAAAGGCCAGCGGTCCCCATCGATCCCCCTAAAGATCTGCTGTCTGTTTGTCCACATCCTCGTGCAAAATAAAAGAAAGAAAAAATCCTCCCAATTGTCCTGTGCGTGCCGATCGATCCAGTCGGTGTCCGAGGGGGAATTCCCTTTGAGATAACTGACAACTACAAAGGTCCCGCTCTGACAGGCTCTTGTCAATACAAATTTCCACTATTGATAAGTAATTTAGGAATGACTGGTGAGCTTTATAAAACATCTGTTAAACAGGAGAGTTGAACAATAGTTACAAAGAAAGAGGGAGAAAGAGAAGAAAAGAAGAAGATTTACTGATTCTCTGCCCTCACTTAGTCCAGCTGGCTCCAAGTTTCACTCAGTAAACGGGGAAAAATGAAAAAGGAACAAAATGGAGCATTAAAATGTAACATTTTAATAGCTAATTTATGAAGAAATTCAACAAAATGTCATGAACAAAAACTTCTAATTTACTGCCAGAGTGGATTTTTCTTTTAGGTGATGCTGAAACTGATAAATGTCGTGCGGAGATGGAAAGACTTGGCATGATTAATACTTATGTCAGTTACTGCTTATGTATGAAATTTAAGTTCTAAAATCAAATTTCTAATTTAAAGCGTTTCTGCTTTCTGTTGCTCTAAATGACAAGAAACAAAAAGGCCTCAATATTTAGAGTAAAGTTGGGTGGATCAATCCAAAGTATCAATAACATTGATACAAAGTCGGTATCAGATCAATACTAGTGTGGTAAAACTGATGCTTTAGATTCAGATTCCACCTTGACAGAAATGAGGAGAACACTGTACAAACTATGAAGTATGGTGGAGGCAGTATAATGCTGAGGGGGTATTCCACAGCTAGCAGCAATGGTGCACAACAGGAGAACAATGATCGGGACTGCAGGAAACCTTTTTCGGTTTTAAAATAATAATTCAGTTTGATTTTCTTCAGTTTTAAACTTTTTTTTTCAATTTCAAATATTTTTTTTCCAGTTTCAAATTATTTTTTTCAAAATTCAAATTTCAGTTTGAAATATTTTAAGATATTTTTTCAATTTCTTTCTTTTTTCAGTTTCAAATATGTTGCTTCAAAATAATTCTTCAGTTTTAAACTTTTTGTTTCTAAGTAATTTTTAAGTTTCAAGTATTTTTTTCAGTTTCAAATAATTTTTTCTGCGTCAGTTATTTTCTTTGGTTTCAATTTTTTTGTTTCAAATCTTTTCTTGTTCAGTTTTTTTCAGTCTTTTTTTACAAACGTTATGGCCCAAATGTAGCTCCGTACACTTCCAGGTATTGAAACACTCAGAATATGCATTTTTATCAAACTCTATTAAAATTTGAGCTTTAGCAGCTCTTTAATGAGACTGGCAATTAACTTAAACTCGTCGTTTCTCATCCCTGTGAAGGAGCAGAACCGTCGTTTCCTTACATCCGGCTGAGCAGTAATTCCCTTTGCTATGCGACAACAGTCACTAAACCTGCATAACACCTGCTCAGCGGTGAGACCGTTGTCAGCGCTGTGACTCGGCCTTTTGTCTTTTGTTCACTGTAATCCCTGCATGTGTAAGTGGATCCTCTAAGAACAGGATAACCACATTTAAGCGGTTTCAGACACTACAGCAGGGGCACAAATCCACCAACTTCTCCTTTTCTAATGCATTTGATAAGTATTAAAACTTACTGACTTGGTGGATTCACAAACAGTGTGCAGCACAAAATGAGCAACTACCAGAAAATATTCAAAAGTTGTTTTCAAAAGAAGAAGAAGGAGTTTATAATGTTGGAGGGAAATATAAATTTAAAGCTTGTAAAATCAAAGTAAGCTTTTGCGTTTCAGTCTGTGGAGTGAAACTGTGGAAGAGTTTGACTCTGGATGTCTAAACATTAAACAATTCAAAGGAAGACATCTGTTTTTGTTATTATAGCATTATTAGTATCAATATCATCATTATTATTGTTGCTATAAATTTTCTTTTGCCTGATTTTGTTATTTTAGCCTTAACAAATTTTCCACTTAACTTTATATTTTGGTCCATCTGATTATATAATTTTTAAATATTAAATGATCGATAATTTGATCAATTATTCAGTACTTGAGTAGACCTTTCATCAAATACTTTTTACTGCTACTTGAATGATTTCTACTTTTTACTTTTACTCAAGTAAGTAAAAAAGTATTTGGTGAAAGGTCTACTGACAAACAGATCAAATTATCAATCATTTAATATTTAAAAATTACATCACCAGGCTGGCCAAAATATACACAAACAATTTTGAATAAAGTGGAAATTTTTGGTATTTTAAGGACCAAAATTATATTAATTTAAATAAGTAACAAAAAATAACTAAATCAGGCAAAATAAAATTTTCCCAAATTAGTTTCTTTCAATAAAAAAGTTATGAAACTTTAACAAAAACTGCATGTGTGTGTCTGTGTCTGGTGAATTTTTGGTTAAAACATGTTTGTTTTTCATTCAGTGGGTAGAAAATCCAAAGATTTTACTCAAGTGAGAGTAGAAATGCTCCATAGTAAAAGTACTCAAGTAAAAGTGAAAGTACAGTGTAGTAAAAATACTAATAGTACCTTTAAAAAAAAGTCACTCATGTAAATGCAACTAGTTACTCCCCAACTCTGGTAAAAAATAAATGTTACAGTAGTTCTACTCTTACTTGAGTACAGTTTTTATCAACTCTCTCCACCTCAGAAGATGAGACATTTTTTGAGTAAAGTGAATCGTTGGAAGGAGGTGAACCTGGAGGAAGTGAGGCTGAAGGAGGGGAATCTGGAGGGAGTGAACCTGGAGGAGGTTCTTCTCCTGGAGGAGGTGAGCCTAGAGGAGGTGAACCTGGAGGAAGTGAGGCTGAAGGAGTGGAATCTGGAGGAAGTGAACCTGGAGGAGGTTCTTCTCCTGGAGGAGGTGAGCCAGGAGGAGGGGAACCGATCCGAGGAAAGGAGAGCCAGTCGGCTGTGGCAGCTCGGGGACAGGGAGGGTCACACACAAGCACACTCTTTGTGCGCCTCTAATCCCCCCAGCCAACACAGCTTTGGCCAGGTTTCATCATGAAAGTGCCATGAAATAACTACTTTTTTTCCCTCCTCAGAGTAAATCTCCCCTAATCCTGGGGGCTGCGGAGACAAAGGCCCCGGGGACCTAATCCTGGAGCTTTTAGCGGGGCGGAGGGGCCGGCCGGCCGAGCCTCTTCTAAATGACTTATTTCTATCGGACACTAATACAGCTTGACAGCCGGGAACGGTGAAAGGACGAGGAAAAGGGCTGGGGGAGGAAACGGCACCAAACATTTTCACATATCTTGGGCTGAGTGGTTGATGGTGGAGGAGCTGCGCCGGCCCACAGCTTCATCTGGGAATAAAAACATGAGATTTCCTCTGAGGGTTCGGCTGAACGGACGGACCTGTTGCATGTGATGCCAACGCTGACCCCGAAACTCACTGACGTATCTCAATAATATTAATAGCTTACATATAACAGTGCTAATAGTATTCAATCAAAGGACTAAAGGTCAATTCTGGCTAGCTTTTTGGTGGATTAATCATCCTTGAGTTTTTCAAATTAAAGCTACAGTTTTTAACTGTTATAAAAATAAATTTTTTTTGCATGTTTGTTGAGACTGTCACTGCGTTATGGCATTATGGTTTAAGACAGCCTGTGATAAAAATCAAGCTCCTCTGCCTTTTCCCTGTGCTAATTAGAAACAACCAATCAGAGGCAGGAGGCGGGTCTTAGCGCTGTCAATCAACACTCCATGCTGCAGAGAGTTGCACAGCCTGTCATGAATGCTCTGGCTAGTTAGCAAGGCCACAATAAACAGTTTTTCTGTTGATTCCCCACCATTAGCACATTTACCAGAGCGTACATGAGTTGGTTGACAGCACTAAGACCCTCCTCCTGTCTCTGATTGGTTGTTTGTGGTTGCACAGGAGTGTTGCATTTCTTCTCACAGTAAGAGTATCTCAGGGAAGAGGTGGAAGAGACTGATCATTTCACAGACTAACTGTCTCATAACATACTGTCATGACATGGTGACAGTTTTAACAAATATGTAAATATATATTTTTAATAAAAGGTTACATACTGCATCTTTAAAACAAACAATATATAAAAATAGAATTGTCTTTATTGTAGTAAAGCTGTTATTGGACTCAATGGAACAGTATATGACTGGTTCAAGTCTTATTTAAAGAACAGGGACTTCTCTTTTTGTTAATAGGTAACTTTTCATCTTGGACAAAAATCACATGTGAGGTTCCTCAAAGTCCTATCCTTGGCCCCCTCTTATCTAAAGAGGCAATAATTAAAATTTACTGTTTTTTTTTCTTTTCGTCTTTTGTTTTGTCTTTTAACTTTGTATCGTTATAATTTTATTCCCTCTTCAAAAACACACCTGGAGTGTCTCTTTGATTCTTTCATACATGTTTGAGAAATCTTTTAATCTCCATGGCAACCATTCAGCTGTGCAAAACGCCAGGTTGGACCTAGCCCCGCCTTTGAGACGAAGCTCCTCCTTCAAGTTTCCTTCTCACAGAGCAGCCTTCCCCCATGACTTCTCCACTCAGCTCCTTAAGACTAGCCAGCAGCAATTAGCAGACACTTGGTGGAACTGTTCATCTGTTGAGCTTGTTATAGGTGTCACCTGTCAGTGAAATGCCGGTAAGAATGTTGTTAAAGGGTTAATAGAGGAACCATGTTGTGACGACTTCCTGAAAGTGGAGCGTTGGAAAGAGCAGGAGCTTCTTAAAGATAAATTTCAAGGCATTAAATTACAAGTAAAATTTGATGTACAGTATTTTTATAACTTCTGGAGTTAATAATAATAATAATGATAATAATAATAATTTTTTAGGTGCGTCACTGAATTTTTGTCCACTTTTATTTGCAGAATAGCTGAAGTTCAGTCAGAGCTCAAGTCTTTCTACAGATTCTTATTGTTGTTTAGTTCTGGACTTTGACTGAGCCATTCTAACACGTAAATATGATTTGATCTAAACCAGTTATCCTGCTGGAGGGTTACACTTTGTCCCAATCTCAGATTTTTTCCAACCTCCAACACGTTTCCTTCTGTGATTGTCTTCAATTTGACTCCATTCATTACTTTTATCAGTGATTTTTCTTCAGTAATGGCTCCTCTCTGTTTTTTTCACGTGTTCAGCTAATGGATGTCATGCTGAGAGATTCCTGCAGAGTTTCTTTGGTTAATGCTTCAGACGGACAGCCATGTCCTGGTGGGTTTCTGTTAACCTCTCTTTCCATTTTTACAGGATAGTGAAATATTTAAAGCTTGAAATATTGTTTTACAACTTAACTCGTCTTTAAACGTCTCCATAGATTTCTCCCTGACTTTTCTGCTGTGTTCTTTGGTCTTCATGATGCTGTTTGCTCATAAATACTCTCTAAAACCCCTCTGAGCCCTTCACAGAACAGCTGTATTCATACTCGGATTAAATTACAAGCAGGTGGACTTTATTTGGTTAAGAGGCCTGTTTCATTCAGCTGATTGCTTTGAATATTAATTAGAGGTAAAAGGGGAAAACAAACACAGATCATACTTTTCAGATTTTTACTTAACAAAATGAGAGGAAAATGTGAAAGAAATTGCTTAAATTTCTATCACTAGTACATTACATTAACACAACTACTTGGATTTTATTCTACGTACTCATATTTAAGCTTTAGTAAATATTCTGGTATGAATTTTGTAAATATTCTGATAAAATGTTGCAGAAAGTCTTATGCTAGGGGTTAAAATGTCGATAACACACCATAACTGCAGCTGTATACACAACTTTAGAAGTACCATGTTGAAAAATTTGTTACTTTTATGCTGCAAATCAAGTTATTGTTGGATGTGAAACTTGTTATGCTACAAATAATTTTGTATGCAAGCCAAAAAGTTCAAATTTTCTATATATTCTGATAAAATGTAGCAGAAAATATGATGTTTGGGGTTTGGAACTGCAGCTATCGACAATTTTAGAAAGAAGTGCTACATAGAAAAATTTAAAAAAGCATTTCACTTTCAGAATAATTCATTCTACAAATAAAATATTCTGACACATACAACTGAAATTCCTCCAAATTAACATGGATATGCACAAAGAAAAACTACAATTCCTTCGATTTCTCGTATAATCTGGAGTAATTCCTGCAGGATTTTGAGGAATTGCTCTCGCTGGCTCAGATTAACTTCTCATTGTGACAGTTCATCGGGAAAATATGGTGGCTGTTAGCAAAACAAACCCCCCATCAGGGAGGAGCAGCGGCTGGGGGGGCTGTCGGCAGCAGCGCTATGGGAGAATGGAGAGGACAATCAAAGGCTGTTATTTTAATCTGTCCTGCCTCGGAGATTAGCCCTCCACATTGTCTCAATTGTTTTAACTGGGGAGGGAATGAAACGCTCCCTTATTGGGCGATCCTTGGCATAAATCTCTCAAGTTCAATAGTTTCAAAAAACTTGAGCTCCCAGCTCCCCCCCTCTCTTCCCTCATCCCACCTAATCCCAGCTAATACCTTCCTTTCCATTGGCTAATGGCTGAAGGGAGCCTGGGTGAAGGCGTCTTAAATAGTCCGGGGTGAGAATGGTTTCAGGGAAGGAGATTCATGAAGCTGCAGGAAAAGAAGCTGCTGCTGCTGCTGCCTGAGGATTTATTTGGGCCTGAATTGGACTGGAGGCTGACTTCTGACTGGAGAAACTCCACTGATCTGGACCTCAGGTAATCTGGTGCTGAATGGTGGGACAGTAATCCAGCTAAATATGATGTAACCATCATTAAAATCACATTTATATTATGTTTATTTATTTATAAATAGTGCAACATTTCATTACCCTTTTAAGAGGAGAGATGCATGGTACCAGGCGTAACAAAATATGCTAATTTCTACAGATTCATGTAATCAAGTGTGATTTAACAGATTATGACTTGAAGAAAAGCCAGTTTGGTAAACTGATAATGAGTTTGGAAAAATGTTTGAACAAGTTAAACCTTTTTAAATACTACTACTATAATATTATTAATAATGATGCTGTAGCCACAGTTTGTTTCTGAAAGACCAAAAGGGCTTGTTGTTAACATGTGTTTGTAACCTATTTATCAGATTTATTTTTTTTATTGGTTTTTTGTATTACACATTATACGCATTTTTAGCCCCACATCTTTGTCTCTTGTATATTCCAAGTTGTTGTTTTGGGTTTTGTTTTGCTTTTTATTCATACGTCTACAATTAAGTGTAAAACAAACTAAAACTATAATTTCATGTCTTTTACATGAAGATGCATAATAGATGCATTATGTAAAAAAAAAAAAAAAGAAAAAAACATTTAATTGCTGCTGATACTGATTATGCTAAACGCTCATCTTCCTGGGACAAATCTCTTTCAGAATTTCAGCCACTACATGTACACCAGGAGTCCATCTAACTGTCCAAATATCTTATTAATACCAAGACAATGCATGACACATCAAATATTTAATATTTTTTATCTATTAAAATACTGCATGAACAAATATTGCGTTGGCAAATGCTATTTCATATTTTATGTAGCTCTAAAATTAATAATAATAAAAAAATACCATTCATTGTGAGAGCAAGTTATTGTTACTGAAAATATTCTTGGTTTTATCATAAATCTTTGTGGTCCTCTGTGTTTATTTTTTTATTTTTCTGCCATTAATTACTCATTTACTCACTAATATCTGGAGTTTGTTCAAATGAAAACGATGTTAATCAAAGAAATCCAGCAAAATGATCCACATTTGTTTTCACAATTGTTGCTAAATACCATTATTTAATTTAGCATTTTAAGGGTTTTATGTGCTTCAGTGTGTTTCACGTGTATAACAAAGTTGCTATATCATCAGAATAACTACTTTTGTTGATGTAGAGTCGCGATGAACTCCTTAAGTTTCTACGGAACCACGGGCAGTGGCGTGTATCCCGTCCACGGTGTGAACTCGGTGCTGTTCGACCTCCGCCACCAGGTGGCGCAGCGGTACCAGGCTTACCCCGCTGCTGCAGCTCCTGCGGCGCACACCTTCTCTGTGGCGGAGAGGCTCGCAGGTGGGTCAACAGGTCCGAACAAAAACAAACATTTCAGGGAAAGGTTCACTGAAGATTTCAAGTCATCATCACTGATAAAAATATAGAAAAAACAAACAGATTTTAAATGTCAATCTTCTGCTGAGATCTCTATTAAAAGTGAGGATTTAGCCTAAATTGAGTATTTTTAATATTAGCTAATCTAAAGTAGCAAAGAAGATAAAATTACCATAAAGATATGGAGGTAGGTAGAATAGCCAAAAGTAAGAAGTTAAAATAAAAACTAACCATCCAAGAAATTATTGAAGAGTACTCAAGTAATGAGTACAAGATCAAAACATAATTTAATATACAACATTTACATCATCAGACAGATCAAAATATAAGGTTATGTGGAAATGCAGATATTTTAAAGACCAAAGATTAATTACAAAATAAAATGAAACATTTTCCCAATCTTTCAATATAAAAATTACAGAACTTTAACAAAAACTTCAGGTGTGTGTCTGAATTTTTTGGTTTGTTCTTCAATCACTGAAGTTATTCACAGTAAATAGAGTATCCAGAAATGTAATAGCAATACCTTATAATAAAGTTACTCCAGTGAAAGTAAAAAGTAAAGATCCAAGACATTAGATAAGTAAGAGTACAAGTATTTGGTGAAAAGGCTACTTAACTGATCAAAACATCAATCATTTAATATTTAAAATTACATAATTAGACAGACCAAAATATAAAGTTATCTGAAAATGTTGGTAAATTAAAGATCAAATTGAAAATTATTTATAAAAATAACAAAATTAAGCAAAATAAAATTTTTCCTATCAGTTTAACTGATTATAAAATCTTCAGGTATATGATTGTGACCTCACATACCTAAAAGTCACAATCACATACTTTTTTTGGGGTGAGGGTGGTTTAACCAAAAAGTTAGTTTTTTGGTAAAACAAACTTTTATTTACTCAGTGACATTGCTCACAGTGGGTCGAGTATCCAGAGATTTTACTCAGCAGTAGTGGTACTTCATGATAAAATGACTTAAGTTGTTACTCAAGTAGATGAGGCCTTTTTGTGTTTTGTCCTGTCAGAGCTGATCCTGGAGGCTCGCTATGGCAACCAGCAGAAGCAGCGACGCAGCCGCACCGCATTCACAGTGCCGCAGCTGCAGGCTCTGGAGGAGGCCTTCCAGCAGACGCAGTACCCGGATGTCAGCATGAGGGAGAGGCTGGCCATGTGCATCAACCTGCCTGAGGCGCGCATTCAGGTGGCACCACCCTTAACGTGACTCACACTGACGTCACTGTGCAAAAGTCCTGAGTCATTCCCCGCTTTCTTACGTTTCAGTTGAACTTTCTGGGTCTAATCAGTTCTCCAAGCTTTCTGGAAATCCTTCTGTTTTATGTTTAACATCTGAAAAATGTTACAAGAATGTTTTGGTTTTGATGTTTGTTTGAGCTCTTAACTCTGACATATGAATCATTCAGGTATAAAAGGTCTTACTCAAAGAATGAGTCCATTTTTCAAAATAAAAATCAAATAGATAGATAGATAGATAGATAGATAGATAGATATTATTAAGCAGTCCGTGCTTAACATGCCTTTCATATTTGATATAAAGTTAACTTAAACAAAAATGAGTCAATGGAACAAATTGAAATACTTTATAATTTTTTTCCCCCCAAAACTTTTGTTGAACTTAAAACAACACAGTTATTACTTCAAAAATGTATTTCTGTTACTTTAATTGATGAGAATGAGTTACCACAACATAGGTTTAAGTTATTTCAACTTATTTCTGTTGTTAAGATGTACTGTTAGGTTTTACAGTGTACAGATAACATGAAACTAAGCAAATAAACACATTTAAATTACTTAAGAGGACAATTACATGCAGACTCAGGGCTAGCCAATAAATCAATAATAACCTATATCAAGGTAGATGCATGATCAATACCAACAGATAATACGTCTGGTAGAATATGCAGTCATTTCACTGAAGTCTGATCCAGAGTAAAAGCTTTAACAGCTCAGTTTCTCTCAGCTTGCTAAGCTAGGTTGGTGGGGTCAACTAACTCACTCGCTCTCTGGTTACCTAGCAACTCACTCATTCTATGATTGCCTAGCAACAACTTGCTAGGCAACTTGCACAGCATAAGTCCAATGTTCCGCCATTGTGCCTAATAACTGCTTTAAAAAAGAAAAAAACAGTGTGGAGTGAAAATGTGGCTAAAACAGGATAGGTTGTACCAGTTTTAAAAAAAGCCAATAATTATCAATATTGACTGATATAGAACACTTCTTGTGGTGTGTTTTTATCATTTTAATCACTAATTCTGTCCTAAGTGTAAATATTCTCTGTCTTTCTGCTGGTCTTTTTGCAGGTGTGGTTCAAAAACAGGAGGGCAAAGTACCGTAAAGGCCAGAGAAGCTCCTCTCTTCCACGGGATTCCTGTCTGGACGAAACTCTGCGGAGCAGCAAAAAGTCACCGGATGAAGTGAAGACAGAAGACAAACAGGACGTCATCACATCACACGCTGAAAGCCAAGCTTCTTCGCGTTTCTGTCCTCCGTTCACTCCCACCGTGGATAAAACCCAGGATGCTAACTCTGATGTGTCGCCGTTTGCTCCTTCACTGCCGTCCGCGCCACTTCTCTCCTTCTCGGCTGCAGATCGTTTCTGTCGCCCGCCTCAGCAGCCGCTTCTGTCCGCTGAGTTTCCACTTCCTCCGCTGTTCTGGCCGCTCATACATCAGCACTTCTCCACCTCAGGGAATCCTTCATCTGCTACCAAAAATGGCAGCCCCGCTCTTCAGACTACTTGCTCCACTAAAGTGTTGGGCCACCGCAACCTGTAGCATTCAAACCCTCTGAACTCATCTTGAATTTGATCCATTTCACCTTGAAATTACCATCCAGTCTTCACTCAGATTGGTTGAAGAACATCTGTGAACATAATCTTTTATGTTCTCATTTGGATTTAAGTCTGGACTTTGACTAGGCCATTGCAACAAATGCATATACTTTGACTTAAATGATTCCTTTGTTACTCTGGCTGTATGTTTAGCCCAGATGTCTGCAACCTGAGCCTCCAGAGACGCAAGTAGCTATTTGGCTCTTTGCTAACTGAGGAGTTTAAATATAAGTACAAATGCAGGTTTTAGCATATTTTTATGAAATTATTTTACTGAATTTCCACAACAGAATGGTACTAAAAGTACCAGAAATATATTTTTCATGTTGTCAGATTAGAAACTATTTGGTTTTTTTGTTTTTAATTCAGTTTTTGTTTTCACAATGTAAAGCACTTTGAACTGCCTTGTTGTTGAAATGTGCTATAAAAATAAACTTAACTGACTGATTTTCCACAAATATCAATTGTATCCATACTCATTCAAAACTTTTGTTTTTCTCTGCTTAGAATCTAAAAATAGAAGTACAATTTTAGTTCCTCTTATATGATACATTTCCTCTGTCAAAAATCAAAACTATTGTTTTTTAAAGATCATGTATGGCTCTAATAAATGTATTTAGCTGGATTGGAAGCCAAAATGTCTCTTTGGATTGTAACGGTTGTAGATGTCTATCGATTTCATTTTGGGGTGTCAGAGTGAAAACCTAGCTTGGTATCCCTTTGTGTGTGTAAAGATTAAATATTTTTTACAATGCAGATTTTACTCACTGTGTTTTTGTCTAATGGTATAAGTCAAGATAACCTTGATGTAATTTACTTTTACTTACACATATTAATTGGGACTCTTATTGTCTGTTTATTTTCGCCAGCAGCTAGAAATATTTCAGTGGTGTAATATGGTTTCAAATGTAGATGTGAAAATGTATTAGAAAGGCTTACTTTTAAGTGACTCAGAGCTGCAGCATGAAGGCGTTGAATTAAACAAATCCACCTCTTTCTGTTTTTTTAAGCTTTGTGAGCCTTAGCAGTACTGATAGTAAAACTGGTTTCAGCATGCTAAAAAAAACTCTGCAGTTTGTTTGAACAAACTCAACCAACAGTTGCCACGTGAGAAAATCTATTTCTGAAACATATTATTTTAAAATGTAAGATTAGGCTGATCATTGTCGCCATAATAATACATGATAATATCATAAATTATCCAGATATGCCAGGATTTCTTATTTTAATAAATAAGAAACAGGGTTCATAAAAAGTAAATCAGAAAATAAAGAAAATGTTTGAAAAAACAAGATGGGAAAATTATTAAGGGATGAACAAACTTATTGTTTAGATTAATACATTAAAAACACATTTTGTGCTTACTGCTCCATAATTTTTGATAAAAATGTGAAAAGTTGTGTATCACAAAAATAACTTTTTAATAATTTGTCTGAATATACACCATTTAAATTAAACTCTAGTATTATCACAATATTTTTTATTTTATTTTATTTCGTGTTTCCAGTCATTCTTTGATACGTGGCATTAAAATCACATATTTGCCAACTAAATCCAACCAGTTTAGAGCAGCTCCTGCGTATTCCTGATGTTTTGTCGTATTCTCCAAACCAGTTGAGTTAGTTTTTTTGCGTAACGTCGTGCAGAGAGAATGAGCGTGACGCTGCGCAGCTGAGGGAGGCTTAAAGAGACCACAGTGAAATCATACCGACGCCGAAGTTGGCGTCCGATTTGAGGCTTCCGACTCAGCACTTGTATAAAGGGAGATTTCACCCTTTAATTAGACTAGCTCAAAACCTAAACTATTTAAGAAGGTAAGACATGAGCTGAGTTGTTTTACACTGTATACAGAATCTTAAAAAAAACAATATTTGTGGTTCTTTAAACTATTATTCTAGTTGAAAGTCAAAATAAAAAACATAAATATTGAATACTTTTTGGTGTTTTTGAATTAAAACCTGCTTGAATTATCTGCTCAGAGATAAGATGACAAGTCAAATCTTCACAGCACAAAGATGATGTAGGAGACTATACATTTACTCTTTTTATTCCTTAACTAATCAAACTGCGTTATTAAGCTACTATGTTTTTAGGCTTACCTTTCTTATCTTTAAGACTATTGTTAAGTCAGCAGATATTTATGTCAGGATTGTTTTAGGCGTAACATTTCCTTAACATAAATATTGCTCTAATTTTCCGAGAAACTGAATTTTTACTTTTCAGTAAGCCAAAACAAAACAATTATATTTAAACCAAACAGAGATAAAAGCCTGAAATATGTCAATCTGTGTGAAAACATTTGTTTTTTCAGTTTGAAAAAACAAATGTTTTACTAATATAAATTATTAATTAATTACTAATTACTAATATAAATTACTAATATAAATTATGTTTTCTAATTTGCAATGATGTGCCCATAGAGCTTTGCATTCTAGTCATGTTTTATTGTAAAAAAAAAAAAAAGAAAAGAAAAAAAATCTAATTCAAAAATACTTTATGTATCCAAATGGGAAAATAAATGTCACCATATCTCAGCTACATCTCTTCAAAAAGTCATTGTGGATGGTGATGCTGTGAGCTGGAAGAATCTCCACTAGCAGTCAGTCTTACAATGATTCTGAAGAGGCCTCTGACTAAAGACTGGCGCTGTGACAGTCTTATGACTGTCATAACAAAATCTGGCAGCAGTGATAATAATTCACAGCAACAGGTCCTGAACACCATCAGTTTTTGCTAAGCACTGCTAATCCACCTCATTTGCTAATCCACCTCATTTGCTTTTGCTACTCCTCTTTAAATCTCTGCCTTGTCTTATGGTTAGAAAGCTGGGATTGGTGAATGATCCTTACCCATTGTGATAAATGGATTTTGGATTGGGCTTTGGGTGGTAGTTCATGAATTATTTGAGCTTTTTAGGTGCTCCAAGTTGTAACTCAATATTGTTATCATGGATGTATTTTTGACAACTATCCAAAACTTAAGAAGTAAAAGCAACAATCCTTCTAGTTGGACAGCACCTAAAATCAGAGGGAATAAATGTCCAAACATTCAACACCTCAACCAAACCAGATTATGAAGAAAAATGTACTAAACAACAAATCAGATCCAACAGAGCTAGAAACATGCTGCTAGTTTATGAAAATCATGATGTTTATAAAATCCATTTAAAGTTGTAGTTGTACCAAATACAAGTAAATATATTTTGGGGAATTGGACTATACAAGTGAAGTTATGAAAAATAGAAACCATATTTCTATTTTAAGTCCTCTGTTCCATTGCCTCATGCCTTATGTGATGTCATCAGAGGCGTGTTTTAGGAAGGCTACATTGAACAGTGAATCAGAAATTATGTACAAAAAAAAATAGCAAAACCATTAAAAAAAACTGCCATGGCATGTTCTATTACAGATGTCAAGCTAAATTAAATTCGAGTTGGGTGTATTTTGTAGAAAATCTTGTCTGGTTAGCTTTAAATAGGGTGGAATAGTCCTTTACCAAATAGGAAACTAAAAATCAGACACCAACTTCATTGCTGTGAAATCATAGCAACTTGGGGACAAGAGGAGCTAAACGGGAAAGAAGCCAACGATCGAACAACCATGACTTCGACTGGGTTTCGATAGCTGAAAATTACAAGGTAACACGCTGTATTTTGACGACTAAAGTTGTTTTATGGAGGGTGAGTGTTTTGTGACCCAGTGTCTCCGTTTGTGAGCGTTCCGGTTCGGCGTTCCGTGAGCTAGTTTGCTAAAATGTCTCTGAGATCCAGGCTGCGCCGCTTGGTGAGCAGTTTCGGCTGGTAGGATTAAGGAGTTGCCCGGTAGTGCTGTGGGTAAGACCCGTAACCGAAGTTTGAGCCGTGAAACTACATTTTAAGGTGAATAAATTGTCTTTTTAGTTTCTTAACGTTTCTACAGTATCTTGTCGTATTTCTCGCGACGTCGTTTGGGACGTTGTTATTTTTCAGTTATAAAGCATTAACTAACTAGCTCGGTAGCTTTGGGTATGTCAGTCAATGAATATTTTATGCCCCCTCTTGCTTCTACTTGCTCAGTTTGGTTTCTAACATTTAGGTAAGCTGTGGTGGTTTTCCTGAGTTGTTATCAGCGTAGCTGACGTAAGAAGGTTAGCTGTTTTCTATTTTCTTTTTTATCAGACGTTGGGCCAAAATTGACGGTGTTTTTGTGGTTGCTAGCTCTCTTAGCCCTATTCATACGTTAAAAATCATGTAAACATTGAAAATAAACGACATTACCACAATAGCAAAGAATTGCTGCTGAAATTGTATGTCGTAGACTACAGTTTCGTAATAAGAAATTAGCAGCTGAGCGATTTGAAGCTAACCATTTAGCATCGTACTATCTGGCCTTGTCCGCGGTTAACGCTAGGTTTTCGTATCACTGAAGCTTCATTTATTGTTTTTGAGATATTTTTAAAGTAGAATTTTCTGTTATTATTGAGTTTCTAAAGGTGGTGTCGAGAATAAAGTCGAGCATTTGGTTTTACTTGAAGCTAAAGCTAAATGACAGCTGTTAGACGCTTCCGAAGCTTGTTAGCCATTAGCTTCCCTCAACATACGCTAAAAGGCCAGTGTGTATGTTAGTATAAATGTTAGCAAAATGTTACAAATATATGTTAAAAACATTTCATATGAGATGTTATTATTAGAATAACTTCTCTTGATCCCAAGTGCTTGTATGTAGGAGAAAAAGGGGGAAAGTTGCAGCATATTAAGATGAGAAATAATCTTATTTTAAGTCCCTCAGTTTATAATAAACACTTGTGACTCAAAAATAAATGTTCATTCCATAATTTGCGTTATTTTATTTCGTCGTTTTCTTTTTCGATTGTATAAGTAAATCTTTCAGCAAATATTAATTGAATTTTCTACATTTTAGTGGACTGAATACATATTAACTGTTATTGTCTAGATCTAGAACAGTATGTAGTTGGATTTAAAACTTTAAGTCTTTCTGCCCAATCATGCATCAGTCCAATGGACTTTCCATTTATCCATACATCCATATTTTATGTTTTCCTTCCTTCCCGGTTTTTGCAAGTTCCTTATTTAAAACGGATGTTATCCTTTGCGGTAGTGCTAAGTCGATTTCCAATGTGAGTATTGATACATATTAAGGCTAACATAATTTTAATTATAAGGATTATTGTAATTATAATCCTTATAATTAAAATGCACAATTATAAGGATTTGTAGAGGTTGACTTAAGTATTTGTAGATTTTAGTTATTTTTGGGCAAACATATTGTTATGTTTGAGCTATTGTTTGCTCAGGTCATCGCATATGTTTTGAATAAATTGAATTTAGTTTTTTTGTGCTTATATATAGTTTGACCTATGAAATGTTTCATAGCTCAAGCATTTTCTGACCTATGATTTGATTGATAAAGCAATCCTATTTATCTCAAGGTGCTTCAAAAGTTTTTTTGTTTTCTTTTGTGTTAAACTTGAACAACTTGAGTTTTGCTTTATGCTTCCTACAGGGATTCTCAAAACTGTAACCCACAATAGAAAGCATTTTTGGAGATGTGGGTACAGTAGTTACTGTCGCAAATCAAGGAACTGGAATCAAAACCATTGCTGCAAACTCACTGAAGGTAGCAAACATAATACCATCGTCATTCAAAAGAAAATCCTGGTGTTTAGTACCAACTGAATCCTCTTTGTTTACATTAGTAGTACATTGCTACTACAACAGAGTTATGTCAAAATAAATAATTCACTCTGAGGGATCTTTTAAAAAAAAAAATTAAAATAATAAAAATATTTTGCATTCACTAAAAAAACAGCCAGTTAAAGCATTTTAAAATTCATAAAATCCCACCCCCTCAAAATTTTCTTCAAATATATCAGTAATCAGCATAATTTGATGTACTTTAAACTTGTATTAAAATCATAATTTGATGCAAAAATGGGAATAATATTGACATTTTCTTCACTTTAATCTTTCGTTTTATGTTGGGATCAAAACGGCCACCTCTATCAGGAAACCTGTAGCAGATTATAGTTTTTAGAAGAGAAACTCGTCTACCAGGTCAGACCTCAAAGAAAGTATCATTCAGTATCAGCCAAGAGAAACTTTTTTTTTTTGTTGCTACACTTATAATAAAAAAATGTAACAGTTTCTAGCTAGTTGTATGTAAAATAACAATATATAACCTTGCCAATTTTAGGTCATGATTATATTTGTTAAATCCAGACATCTTGGATTGAGACCTTCAAGTTGTCTAAGGTCTATAAAAGCAGCTAGTTATTCAAATAGTTTTGAATGCAGTGGAAGAAAACTGTTTCAGAGCTTTTCTTTTATTATTGGAAAAATAAACATCCATTCAAATTCATGCAGAAACTATCAAAAATGTTAACAGTTAGCTCCCTGCACACACAAACACACTACAGCAATCAACAAACTATAATGGCAACTATGAGCTCATTGTTAGACTTTATCACCAAGATGTTGGCAACCGTGTGATACTGTTGTACTTATATTTATCATCTTCGAAATTATATTCTGTGGTACTGACCAGATTGATTGAAAATAACCTTAACTTTAGTCACTGTTTCTAAATTGTAGTTTGGAAATTCATCAATTAATCGTCTTTATTTTCACAAAAATGGTGTTTCATTGCTGCAGACATTTAATCACTGATCTAATATATTATAATAACCTGGTATCAAAGCTGTGCGGTTCACATCCTGTAATGACCAGAAACAGAAGTAATGAGGCTGACACATTTCACATGTGACAAGTTATTACAGTCTTTACAGCTTTGCCAATGATTTCTAAACATTGTTTTTTAAACTGTTGATCAAGTTCTTTACAGATATAAACAGCATTACCAGCAGCTTCCTTTTTGACTCAAAGTGTCTGCGCTGGCTATAAACTGTCTTTATCTGACCATGTGGCTTTTTTTATGTGGTTTTTTTAAGATGAGATCTGCAAGACTAGATCTAAATCCAAGAATACTTTAATCCAATGTGCAGTGTTCAATCTGTACCCAGTTGAACAAAAACTCCTGGTGAAAATCAAACAGTTTCTGAAATTAGCCTTTATTTAAGTGGTGTACAAATTAGGTGATTTTAAAGCCTCTTATTGTGACAGATTGTTAGTTGGAGAGTTTACATTTTTTGCATTCATACATCAATACAGACAGGTTTTTACTTTACTTTTTACTTCTGCTAAAACACTAGTTTGTTCATTTTCACATTGAACTGTAAATCAGTAGCTGTGCCTCTGATTAGAAGAAAAGCACGACATATTATATCAAAATCAGTGAATTTGTCTAATTTTCCGTTCAGTAATTCCTAATGAGAATGTTTATTATAAGCCTTCTGACACATTTGTACTTGCAGAGAAATGTTAAGAAGAAAAATGTTTTATTTTAGTGCTGACATATTAGTTGTAAATTGTTTCCAAAAGCAATTCTTCTGCTAATCTAGGAAGCTTATCTGCTTCCTCCTCTGTGTCATTTATTGTCACTTTACTAAATCAGGTTAGTTGAACATTTTATTACTCTATTTTTCATTTAACATAAATTTAATTGCTTTCATTAAAGCGCATTCATTCATTTTTAGCATCCCCCCAATCCATTCGATATCTTATTTTGAAATGATAAACGGTGATTATTTTATTTCAGTGATGTAAAATAATCATCAGCATTATTAGTCTTTATATCATCTGGCTTAATTGCATTTGAAATGAGCTCTTTTCTTTTTTTTTATTTTATTCCTCTTATCAATCGATCGTGTGACCAGATCAGGTATTTTCATCTTACTTCCTTCTGCAAGTATCAGTTGTTTGTTACACAACAAGGAAGACATGGCAGAGTAATGACTGGTGGCACGCAGGGCTGCCAGTCCTTTCTGTTCCCCAGGTGTGAAAATGGCAACAATAAAGAAATGTTGACCTTCACAGGTTTTCTATCAATCCTTAAAACATTTCAGGCTTCAGAAATCATACTAATTACAATAAAACAAGGTGCCATATTTGATTGAAGTATTTTATTAGCTTGAAGTTTGACAAACTGTGGTGTTGTTTCCTGGACGGCTTAGTTTTTGTCTCCCAGATGTAACTGAGTTATCCGTAGACTAGACGGTATCCGAATGCATCAAATTGGACGCTTTCCTGTGATGCAAATTATGTAAAGAAATGAGGCATTACATCAGTCATTGATCTGTGTAAGTGCCTTTCCATAGAGAAGAGTCGCTGGCCGTAGCTTTTGCGTGCATTACCTGCGCTCCTGATCAGCAGAAGCATCTCGGATCATAGACACAGTGGAGCTAGTGATGTGATCCGAATACTGTTGCCTACAGAAATCTGGAAAAAGATGGTTGAGACTTAATGCTGCAACTTCCTAAAGCCTTAGAGCTTATCTTAAAAATGTTTGCAGTTTTTTTTTTTAATGTTTAAGTGCAAATTTATATTTTTACTTCCACAATTTGGACTCTAAAGTACTCATTTTGAATAACTTAGAAAGTCACCTAATGTTTCCTAGTCGTCAAATTGAAAGTGTCTATTTTTGTGAGTTACACACATTATATGGAGTTTTACTGAATAGTTTAATTGCGTAAAAGAAAAAAAATTCTGTCTGATCTTCTGCAGAATATTTCAGCTTGTATTGATTGCTTTATTGAATTTGCTTTGCACCAGTAAGCACTAAGCTCTTATTTCAGCAGTAGTACAAATCAGCCTCAGTCAGCATAATTTGATATTGAAGTAAAAAGGGTTTTTTTTTTTTAAATTATTCCTGAAAAAATGACCTCAACGACTTTAGAACCGGTCATCATTAACCAGATTTTCATGTGTTTTGTAGTAATTTATAGTTTGTGTTTTAGGTTAAACATTTTTTTTCCTACTTCTTATTTTAAAGTTATTCAATTTAATAAAATGTGCTCATGTTGAATGAATCAATACATCAAAATGGATTTCTGTAGCACCTTTCATTAGATTGTGGAGCCTTTAAAGGTGTAAAGCAGAACCGATTTCCCTGCAAATGGCAAACAAAGTAGACATGGGCTCTTGAGATTCTCACCTTGAGTAACAATTTTACTACTTCACATTAGTATGTTAGTAACAGAACCTCAATAATTTAACCTCAATGATTTTTGTTAAAAATCACTTGCCAACCACCTCTTAGTTTAGAAGTAGTGGATTCTGTACAGCTTCACCTCAGCATAAGTGATTTATGTTGGTCTTTTAGTATTCAGATATGGACTATTCATACTTTTTATTTCTTAAGGTAAGAAATACCTTTTGGTTGTTTCTAGCAAAAAGCGATCTGTAGCCCCAACCTGAAGGTGAAAGTCTATAGTTTGTGTCCAGGATGTGGGGGGTTTGCAGAGAACAAGACTGCAAGTATGAAGGAGCATTTTAAGCATAATTCTAAAAAAAAAAAAAAAAAAAAATAAATGTATATGTATATCTAGAAAAAAATTTTTTTTCTAGATATTTAGGAAATAGTGAAAATTTGTAAAATTAAATGAAAAATGTATATTTTATAGAATATTTTTAAAAAATCACAAGCCTGATGTTGGGAAGCTACTCTCATCCAAAGTGTTCAACATTGGTAATGTAAATATAACATTTATAATACAAGTGTGAAATTACAGGTAGTTTAAATATAAAATAAATACAAAGAGCAAGCAAATATAGTAAAAAAACAAAAACTTGTGGTTATCGAAAGCATAAAACCTCGCCCAAAATATAAATGTGCATAAAAAAAAATTACTCAATAAAAAATATTTCCTTAATTCAAAAATAAACAGTTTTGGAAATTTACCAAAAAAAATAAAATCCTTAGATATTTAAAAGATGCGTCTTTGGTTTACATTTAAAAACTGGAACAGTTTCAGTCTTCCTCGGCTCCTCGGGGACATGAGGGACCCTTGGAGGCGGGAGCTGTTGTAAGTCTCGCCGCCGTCGTACGCTTTAGTGACAGCTGACGTACTGGGAAACGGATCCATGTAGATCTCATTCACCAGAACTTTAATGCCCCAGGAATGTAGGCATGTTTGCATGGCTCACTGAAAATTTGCCTCACAAACTAAACGGTGGGGATTTTTCTTTTTCATCTCACTAAAAGTTATGCATCAACCTGCCGATGGGGAAAAATGCAAATGCTCATACTTTCCAGTTTCATGTGATCGGGGAAGCGTATGTATAGGAACAATGGATTATTTTTTTCATTTTTTTTTTAAAGATTAATAACTTTGAGTTAAGATAACCTTTACGTTTAAGCCACTTATAATGACGTGGGCTATTGCAAGCTCTTAAAAACATTTTCTCAATCTATAAACTGATTAGTCTGTGTTTTGTTTTATTTTTCAGACAGGCTGACGTCAGTCCCAGCTGTTCCCGGTTTTGCTGTTCCTTGGACCTTTGGGTTGAGTCCAGTCGTAGCCGTGTAACATGGAGCGTCTCCACTGCGTGAATGAAGGCTGACCAGAAGAAAGGCGGCGCTCCAGATGACGTTCCCAAGTGGCCTTGTGGAAGCAGTAGCTGCGCGTTGGAGTGCTTTTTCATGATTACCGTTGTATGTGTGTCAGCGGGAACAGCTTAGCGAAACCCGCCGTTTTCATCGGGCCGGGGAATGAGACTGGAGTCAAGAAATCCACAGAAAAGGAGCTCCTGTTTATAACCAACATCCTCAAAAAGCTGTATGATTGACACACAGGCCACTTCAGCTGTTGTGTTGGCTCGTTTAAGTGTGCGCGGGATTTTTTAACAGCAACGCCTCTCCTCTGTTCTGTGATATCTGTCTCCTTCTTTAAAGTGCCCTCCATTACTGTTGTTGGAGTTTCTATGGTTTGCATGGCTGGAGAATAACCGTGGAGAGGCCAGGGTATCACAAGCTTATGGATTTTGATAAGAGAGGGGGCAAAGGAGAGACAGAGGAAGGCAAAAAGATGTCTAAGTCGACGGCCAACAGGACTGGCGGCAGGGGTACAGGGACCAATTCTGGAGTTCTTATGGTTGGCCCGAACTTTCGTGTGGGCAAAAAAATCGGCTGCGGTAACTTTGGAGAGCTGAGGTTGGGCAAAAACCTCTACACTAATGAATATGTGGCCATCAAATTGGTAAGTGCTCGTCTCTTGAAACTTTCCAGTCAGTTGCTGTTACTCTGTCTGCATAGTTTGCATCCCATGTTACAAATGCTTCTTTGCTAATTTTATTAGCCTGAAAGTGTTTTTGATTTTAAAATGCAGCAGTTTTTAAGTGACGCAGAGAAACAGGAAGTGAATAGAGCCTGTCTTTTTCCCACATCTGGACCTCATGAGCGTTTCTGCCTCTGTTATGGCAAAGACGAGGGCGAAAAAACTCACAGAACACCATCTAAATCCAATAATTTATAAAGTTAATTACAGATTAAACTGTTCTGATAAATGTATTCTTATACATTCTTATCCAGACTACATCAAACTACATTTCCATACTTTGGGACACATTTGAGGGACCTTGTTTTAGAAATTTAGACTTTTCTTAAACAATTGTTCAGTATCGGTGATGTTTATTTCGGTGAAACCACATAAAATGTTGAGGCTTGTTTGCTTTCTGATTGCCCAACAGTTTCCTCTGAACGCCTACTTCTCTTAACATCATTTCTGTTGCCACTTGTAGAGTTTGGATTGCTTTCTGATCAGTCATACATTCTTCCCCAGGAACACTTTGATGTCAGAAACATGAAACTGAAATTCTGGTTTAGTCTAGTGTCCATACTCTTGGTGTGCTCGTCATTATCCCTACAGCTACTTCCATGTATGTTTCCTCATCCGTCATGACTCTTTCTCATGTGGATGCCAGGATGTGTGCGTGGGCATTCAAAAGCTCCGCGGTTGGCACAAAGCCATAATTGCACTTCTGCTCTCCTGAAATCTTTAATTGCACTCTCTGCCTCAGCCCCTTTAGCTTGAGAACCTCCCATCTGTTGGGTATTTTTACCTCTGTAATGTCCAGCTATATCTGGAACGATCAGCAGTGCCATCTTCATCTGCCGCCAGGACCTTGCAGTCCCACTAGCATCTATCTGGATGAATCATAGAGAGGATGAAGTGTTGGACTCTAGAAAGACCCAATGAAAGCAGGGGCGCGTTTGTACTTTTACAAGTACTTAGGAAGAAAACAGGTGTTTATTTTTTTTTTTTTTTTTGCTGAGTTTCATCTTCAAACTTGATTTTAACTT